GGAATACGGGTGCCACCGTGCGCGCTGCCAATATTTGTACCCTAAGCCCACGGGGGGGGGAAAATACGTGTGTGATAATAAGTGTGTAGTTATATACGTGCCGCCACAAACCTGGCGTATAGATGGGACTTAATGCGTATGAGCCACGGGAACGCGTGTTACGTACAAGCATCTATATACTCCCCTACCTAAATACACAGTGTAATTTATACCGTGCTGTCTGCCTGTCTGCATATATATAAAAATAAATACGCTGATGAAGACAGGGCTATCAGCACGCGGGGGAGGAAGGGAGAATTAAATATATCGATTTATTTTTGATTTTTCTTTTTTTCTTCGCCCAAAGCAGCTGCGTATCCAGATGTGCTGGGTTTCCCCCAGGCATCTCCCTCTCCATGCCTTGCAAAAAATCTCTGGTGATTTTTCTCTACCAAAGCAGCGTTTTGCTGGAGTTTCGTGGAATTCCTACAGAGTATCTGCGCTTTCTTTAAAAAAAAAAAAAATAAAAAACAAGTGAAAATCCCATTAAAACCGATTAAAACCGCCCGAGCAGCTCTACCCAGGAGCAGAGACGATTTCAAGGACCTGCCTTGGTTTTGCCTCTTCCAGGAAAAAAACCACACAGACACAAAAAAACCATAAAATCCCGCGGTCGGTTTTGCGTGTGCGTGGCCGGATCCAGCCTCTTCCAGCGGGGAAATGTCGGTCCTCAGCGCACCCCAAAAAAGCCACGTCCCAAGGCGGAGCTGAGCCAAACCCCAGCCTTGGTGCAAACCAACAGCCGGGAGGGTGAGGATGGATTTTGGACACAGGGGGGGTTTTATCCCTGAAAAAAAAGCAGAGGATGGGATACAGCAGAGCGCAGCGACAAGAGACGGGGGGGGAAATAAAAAAAAAATCTCTGCTCTGCACTCGGAGGAGCGTTTTTTTCTTTTTTTTTTCTTTTTTCTTTTCCTCTTTTTTTTCCTGCGAAAAAGTGTGGTTAACGAAATCCGGCTGAAAAGAACCCTGCGGAAAAAACCTCGGCCTTTCCACTCCCCTTTCCAGCCCCCTCTTCTCCCCCAGGGAGGAAATAAATCGGTACGATGCCGGTTTGGGTTGGGTTTTGAGGTTTTTTTTGGTTTGGTTTTTTTTTTTTTTTTTATTCCTCCCGCATCAAAGTTAAATTCGGCGGCAGTTTTAGAGCTGAAGCTCCGGGTGTTGATGGGTGCACCCGCGAGTGGCGGCCTTTCCACTCCCCTTTCCAGCCCCCTCTTCTCCCCCAGGGAGGAAATAAATCGGTACGATGCCGGTTTGGGTTGGGTTTTGAGGTTTTTTTTGGTTTGGTTTTTTTTTTTTTTTTTATTCCTCCCGCATCAAAGTTAAATTCGGCGGCAGTTTTAGAGCTGAAGCTCCGGGTGTTGATGGGTGCACCCGCGAGTGGCAATGAATAAAAACAAAAAATAAAATTAAAATAAACCCCACCACATTAGGAATTGGGGAGGAAGGGAAGGCGGGGGGAAAAGCTGATTTAAACATTTCTCCGCGGGATTGGGCTGCGAATTGAATCTTTTTTAAAAAAAAATCGAGGGAAAAAAAATGGGGGGGGTGTGGGGTGTGGAAAAAATAAAAGAAAAAGCAGCAGGGAAGCGTGGGTTTAGCAGAGGGAAAGGGATAAACGCGGCC